GGGCAGCAGGGGCTCCGTGTACGTGGACGGCAAGCTCGTGGGGAGCTCCGACGCGCTGCCAACACCCGAGGCACGGATTTTTGAGATCTCGTACTTCTACTTTGGAGACGAAGATGTCGGCAACGACAGAGGCGGCAGTGTGACGGTGACGAACGTTTTTTTGTACAACCGCCCGCTGAGTGCCACGGAGCCCGACAAGGACGACGGCAATGGCGGTAACCCGAATAAAGGCGACAGCTCCATGCGTGTGGATGTGCCTCGGGTGCTGCTACTCCTGCTGCTGCTGGGGCTATGGGGCATTGCGGCCCTCTCCTGAGCGAGGCACAGCGGAGGGGAAGTTTCTTCTTGCAGTGCGAACATATAAGTCTTTTCACGCACCCTGCAAAATAATTGATGTCCCTCGTGGAAACTCTCCCCCTTTTTTAATGCTTTCTGGTATATTACTTTACACCTCCTTTTCTGGTATGTAGGAATTTTGTTTCTTATTTAAGGGCGCCCTCAGCCCTGGGGACCCGCACGACGGGGTCTTCATTTTTTTATATTGTACGCTTCCGAGAATGACGGGGTCTTTTCATTGTTTCCGTATGGTAATTGCGGAGAATCTCGGCGTTGTGTGCGACGCCGACGCCGCCGTTTTTGTTTTGTTTTGTTTTACAAAGTTGCTGTGAAGCACAGCAAACCCTCCGAGTGTCGCAATGGAATGCGAATGATGTATGGACACGCGGGGTTTTTGAAACTTGAAAGCAAATATATCTTCTTTTCTACAGGCAGCAGGTGCACACGTTTCTGGGAGGCCACACAAATGTGTGCGACAGCGATCCTCTTTTTTATTGGTAAAAACTATGTAAGGGGTAATTTTCTTTTCCTTTTCGTCGTATTTCCTGCGGGTTGCCGCTGCTTGGGCTGCAGTGCCGTCTCGAGTATTAGTTCTCTTCTTCTTTTTGTGTTCCTTTGTGCAGCGCTGCTCTGCTTCTGCATGTGTGGCCCCACCTGTTTTACCTTTCTCTCTCTTTTCGTTGCGTAGCTGTAGGCACACACACACACCGTCATGGCATCTAACTCGTGTGGTTCACGCGGATTCTTCTTTTGTAGTCGGTGCTGGCAGTTACGTCTGGTGGCTGCTGCTGCCTTCTTCCGTGGGCATGAAGGAAAAGAATAGGCAGAAGGAGAAAGCAAGAGGGAGGAAAGCGCACTGTGGCTCGCTCTCTTATTTTCCTTGCGGGTGCAGGGCGCTGCCCGTGGGGGTGTCTTGCCCTTTTTCGTCTCAGCGGACTGCGGCACAAAATGCCGCCGCAACGAGGCAGTGCCATTTTCACAGTGAGTGGTTGGTAGCTGCGCGTAGCCGCACGCACACACACATACGGAGATGTGTGTGGGGACGCGAATGGCGGGTGCAGTGCGTGAGAAGAGCAGCGTCGCAGTTGTCGTGTGCCCTGCACGTTGCACACGCCCCCCTCCTCCCGCGGGGAGGGGCGAGCTTCGTCGTGGGCGCGTGGTGGGGTTGCACGATGCGGTGCCGGGGGTTAATTTGGCTGCGCCGGCAGGGGGGTGGTGGGCGGAGTGGCGATGCCGCCCCCCGTGCAGTGCGGCTGCCCTGCCCCGCACCGTGTGGGCTGCGGTGGCCCTCACACTTTCTTTCTCTCATTTTCCTTTTGGCTGGTGGTGGGTGTCCAGCTGCGACGCGAGCCAACGACAACCAACGAAGTAAAGGAAAGTGGTAGTATTAAAAGGAGACCATCCCAGGGCGAAGAGGGAGAGGGCGCGGTGGTGGTAGGGGGCGTCCCACCAGTAATGTGCCGCAGGGGCAGCAGCGGGCGCGGTCAGCGCCTCACAGCGACTTGCCGCAGCCACACTGGACCCTTCACAGCGCTGTGGAGGAAGTTCTGCTTTGGGGACAAGGACAACTCAGTCAGATCACGCTGAAAGATTTTCTCCGTAATACATTGGGCGGCAGAGGAGTTCTGGAGTCCAACGAAAATCTTTCTATCGAAGCGTTTATTGTAAACCCCAATACATTTATAGAAGATGAGAATGTCCTGCGCCTAATACTGTCATTGCCCTCTTACAAGGCGATTGAAGATGCATACAACCTAATGGACCATAGAGTGGGTACGCTCCAACGTTGGAATGGCTTTGCACAAAAGGAGATCGTCTCCAATGCTTCATGGGCAAAACTTGACGCGGCCCTTGAGGAGGCGGAGGCAAACGAAAGGGCAGGACAGGCAGAGCAAACAAGAGTAAGACAGGAGGAGGAAGAAAGACGAAGGCGGGAAGAACCAGAAGGGATAAGGCGGGAAGAAGAGGACTCGAGGGCAAGGCTGGAAGAGGAGCAAGAGAGGGCAATACGCGAAGAGGCAAAGGTAATGCGGGAAGAAGAAAGGGCAATACGCGAAGAGGCAAAGGTAATGCGGGAAGAATAAAAGGCAAGGGAGATACGGGAAGTTGCCAACCAACCATTGCCGGATGGATTCTACGACTCGGTGTTTAATGCGAGGTGGAGCCACGTCTTGGGGTTTCCCGAGGGCGAAGGGGACGCGATGGTGGTGCGAATGGAGGTGCGTGAGGGCCAATCACCAACGCAGTGGTGGGACTACAGGCGGAAAGGCATAACTTATGAGTCGGTGGAAGATGCAGGGCAATTTATTGCACCGCGCCCAAGGCTGTTGGTACTCTCATCCGTGAAGGGGTGGCCCTACTCCCTCAAGAAGCTAATAGAAATGACCGACTGCTACGTCAACTATGAGGTGGAGCGGGTGTGGCGGGTCGTCCAGGGCGATCTAGAGGGAGCGTTTGGCACTGACGACCTAAAAGGATTTGACCTGCGGCGGCGTCTCTTGATCGGGACGCCGGGAATCGGGAAGTCGGTGGCTGTTGGCTCCTACCTCCTCCACCAGCTGCTGCACTACGACGCCGAGCAGATTCACGTGGTTGTGTACTGCCTTGGGGGAGAGTTGGCGTACGTGTTTGACAAGACCACTCAAACGGTGACGGAGCACGAGGGAGAGCTCCATATTATCAATGTTATGAATTTTTTGGTTTGGCAGCGTAAGCTGAAAGGGTATGCCATCTACGACGTGGACAAAAAGGGCCGTGAACCATCGGGTGATTTTCCGCCCTCCAAGTCATGAAGCGTCATTGTGTTGTCATCCCCAAACGAAAACAACTATAAAGGGTGGGAGGAGCAAAATGATGCCAAGCGAATCATCATGAATTGCCCGGACGAGCTTGATGTGAAGGCAATGTGTGCCTGGGAGAATCGTGCTAAGTCTGCAGAGGAGCAATTGGAGTACTGGAAGATGGTCAAAAAGTACATGAATGATGTGGGACCGATATTACGATCCATCTTCAAATTTACTGACTGGGAGCAACGCAGTACTGCCGCCGAGGACGAGGTGAAAAGTATCAACGCTTTAAGTGCTGAGTATTACATGCGCGTGGAGGTTGCGGATGATTGGGCTGAGGCCCATGCGTCTCAAAAACTTGTGAAAATTATTCGAGTGGTGATTTCGGGAGGGATTGAGACATTTTACAACGGGTACATTACCAAACACTTTGCGAATTCCGCCATGATTCAGATGTCGAAGGTGAAGTCGTTGTGCGAAATGCAGAAGATGCTGTCTTTGCTTCCCATGGATGCAATTAAGCCGGAGTTGTTGGAGAGGCTTGGCAGTATGGCATTTACCT